AAACTTTTGTCACTCGGCTTCTTAGAAAAAATGCTGAAAGTTTTCATTTTCATATTTTTTCATGAAGCAAAATAAATGAGTCCCGAAATCGTCCTTTCTCCCTCTCTTCATTTCTTTATTTTTTTGCAAGAGAGCTGCGCGCCGAAGTGCTGCTGCCATGGTAGCCGACGAGCTCGGCAGCTTTCGCTCTCTCATTACACGCGGGGACATTTCTCGCATGTGCGCGCCAACAAACTGCTTTTTGGAATTACTTAATGTGGCACAGGAATTATACGTGCGGAAATTTTTAATAACCGTGCCCGTGCCACCGTGATGTCTCTCTCCCTGGGCTGCTCTTTGTCGACGTTGTTTGCAGCTTCCAACCAACAAGTGAGAAATGCTGTCACAGAGAGAGAAACACGGTCTTCTTTTGCGCGTTGATATGCTTTTCAAACTCGACTCTCGCAGTTTGCTCAATAATAATAAAAAGAGAAAACGCAACAAAGACATAAATATGTTTGGATTCGTCCTGCGATTTCTAATTGACACTCACAAAGATGCAAATCTTAAAGTTGGGTTTTTTTGTAAAGAAGATTATTTATTTCGCAACAGAGATGATTTTTTTATAATCAAATTATCAATTTGGGAAAAATAAGTCATTGATATTTCTACGCTTTAAAGAAATCCCTCAAAACTTGTAATTGAAATAAGCTAAAGAGGAGAATTATTCTCCTAAAATAACCAATATTATTAAGAAAAATTTCACCTGAAATTATCAATTTTGTCAGGTGTATGTCACCAGAATGTGGAAGCTGGAATGTTTTAAATCCCATTTTGTATTTCAAAGCACTAGCTTGATTTGGTTTAATTATCAATTAATGAAGTAATCAGAATGAATTTGCACACAAATTATTTTAGAAACTGTCGACAAACCGCAAACTTATTTTGAAAATTGGCTCCAGATAGATTAAAAATTCGCAGTTGCAGAAATTTCATCACCACATTGGGGTACTAAAAAATCACCCGTTGTTTTGTCGTTTCCCAATTGTTGAATAATTTCAGAAAAAATTTCAATTACGATATTTTGATCACGTTATTGAACTAAAAGAATTTAATCTAGAAAAATGTAACGTGCATTATAAAAAATATCCATCCAAAAATTGCAGTGTGGAAATTTCGAGGGTTGTCACCACAAAGTGATGCGGCTGCCGATTTATCGATTGGTGACATCAAATCAGAATAAAAGGGCTGTGTGTTGACGACAACGGTGAGGTTCTGCTCTGCAACGTGAACACAAAATTGATGTGCTGGTTTGCGGCGAAAGTGTCATCCAATAAAGAAGCAACGCACACATCAGCAATAAATAGCATTAATGATTCATTAGTCTGGCAAGCCACTTCGGTCTCTCTCATCGATAATAGTCGAGTTTCCATAGGAACGTCATGTACTACATGCACTCCCACGTTACACACTAGTGCTCTCGATTAAAAAGTCATTTGGAGGCTCGCGCGTAATTGAACGGGCGCGCCGCCGGAGCTGGAGCTTCATCAAAGCAATCGCGAATTAACACAGAAATTTGCCACGTTAACTGTTTCCAGTCAACAGACAACGCTGAGGCCAGCGTATGCCACAAGTTTCTAATAAATGAAATTTGCATTAATTTCAGCATCGTTGTGTTGTTTGGTGAATTTATATTCCACATTCTAATGAATTAGATAGTAGCAAATTAGATACTCTTCTAATTTTATCACCAATAAGCATCTACATATTACCTATAATGAATATAATTTAGTCTGCAGTCGCTTACAATTATTATTATTTATATTTTTATCAATATTTTTGTCTGTTAATGCTTTAGTTTTATTTCATTATTTTTTATTAACTTGAAGCTGGAGCGTATTTTTCAATTTCACTCTTAAACAGTGACGTTTTAATGAATATTATGGCTGTAAAAGAAGTGAATCTGGAAACAAACTCGGAACCCTCCGAACTGTGCAACAGAAAATTGGTTGTTCGATTACTTACAGATAAAATAATCCTTTGCTTACTCTTCTAAAATCATGTAAATTATAGTTCCGATTTCCTTTGCCAGATGTGTGAATTTCAATTTGATTAATTTTATTTTTCTCCAACAAGTGATTCTTCATCTGAAGTGAAAACTAAGCTTATTTAATTGGCCGAAAAATATAATTAAAGGCAATATTTTATATTTCCTGTTGGACAAAAAAAAAAAGAATTTATCTCAATGACATGATATGAATTGACAAAACTGGTTTATTTCAACTAACAATTAGTGAGTAATTTCCCACAGATTTAACCATATCTATTTCAAAAATTGACCCACTTTGCTTTATTAAAAAAATTGATCGTGACTCGTGTAATTTGCAGGAAATTTGGGCGCAACACGCGAAAGGGAGATTTTTCGACGATTCAGAGGCCGAGGGCGCCTCGGGTGGATGCAAATATTTGACGATCGCCATTATTCAACGCCCGGGCGCAATTAAGCAAATGGTTGGCCGCCGCGAGCAGTGGAGGGTGCTTTGGCACGTGTTGAACCGAAATTGGGCAGTGTTAGTTAGTGTGTGTGCGTGTCCATTGAATAAACCTGCCGGTTGCTTTCGAGAGAATGCTCGGCGGGCATTGGTGCGAGAGAAGAGATTCTCGGGGGCGGCAAAGAGCACGGCCGGGTCGCCAATTTATGACCTTCCTGCTGGATGGCAAATTAATTTTGATACGCCTTCTCGCTCTCGTCAGGGTGTGCAAGGACCGTGCTAGTCGAATCGAGCGCCCACTTGGACGCTTCATTAGCTGCGTGTCTCGCTTCTTCCATACACACAAACAACGCAAATCCTCCTTCAAAATAATGAGCCTGATGAGGGGGTGAAAGGAAATTTTGCTATACTGCATCACAAGAATATGCCCATTAGAGAAAATACTCTAGAATCGAAAAATTTAAAGGGTATAAAGTGAAACCCCTTTTTTTCAAGGAAAAATTGCATTAAAAATGAGCTTCTCTTCTGAAAAGAGGAAACAATTAAAAAAGAAATTAATTATTATTAACTACAATAATATTATATTTATTATTAATAATTTATTTTATAATTCCTTAAAATTTTATGATAATTAAATTATCCAACCATTAAGAATGATTTAGAATTTGCATCTAATAATTAAATTTAAACTACATTAAATTCCACAAGTTAAATTAAATCATATGACTTTGTTTTCTAAATAAGTTATTTTTTTCTAAGCCCAATTAGCTGATAATATTGATGAAAAAAAACGCGATGATTTTATAATAAAGGGCATTGTTTACAATAATACAATATTTTGATAATTTATTTTCTTTTAAATATCTCCTATTAAGATTTATAACTTTGTGTCTTCTATTTATGTAAGAAATGTCTGAAAACTTGTCCCAAAAGTTTCTGTCCGCAAACTATTTCCAACAATTAACGGGCGTTGGAAGGTGTAAAAATTAACCTCGCGTGATAACGTCGCCTGTGCCTCTTGCGCAACTTTGCCGGCGGCAGGTAATTCTGTAAATTCCTCGTAAAACCAGTTTTGCCATCAAAGCGCCTAGGAAATTTGGACGAGACGCGGTGGCTCGCCAAAAAGCCCATTTATCTTTTGTGTAGACAAAATCTGGGCGACGAAGTCTCCGCTTTACGACTGCATTAGCAACTCGAAAGGTACCCCCATTTATATTAGCTGGCTTGACGAGAGAGAGAACTATCAAGTTTACGCAAAGTTTATTTAACCCCTGCTTGCTTCTTCGTCCCTTCTTAAGGGAAGTAAGCAAAACTCCGGGATGCTAATTTTCTCGCAAGGTGCTGTATCGCGACGACCGAGCGAGACTCAATGGAGTTTATTTACACGGCAACTACACCAACTTTCTGAGCCGAAAGTAATTAAGGTTATTTAGGAGAAAGGGTGGAGCAAAGAGTGGCTTCCGACTTTCCTGAGGAAGTAATTTACTTTTGAAATTCATGGACAAAAAGATATTTACTTCATGTTGCATTTGTTTCCCTTCAGTTAAATAAAACAGATATTAATATTAATTAATAGTCATTTATAGCAGGTTAAAAGGTCTAATCTTACTTAAAAATTTATTCTCACGAAGGATCATCGCGAATTAAAGTAACATTAATTTTATTTTCCAATGCTGTTTTTTAATTTTTTCAATCTTGTACTTTATTTTCCTTTTTTATAGTGAACATTGCATTGAAAATACGAGCAAAATAAATTAAAAATCGCATTTTTAAGGCAAGGTTGAATTCATGCTTATTTACCTTCAGAGATTGATGATCTCCTTGCAGTTATTTGACTAAAAGCATTATAAGCAATATTTTAATTTTGTTTTTAATTAAGACCTAGTCTATTCTCTATAGGTTTTTTGTTCAAAAAATCCATAATACAATGTAATATTTAATAATCAAATTAATTAAAAAAAAATAGAAACAATAGAAAGAAGAAATTGCCAACAATTTCTTTTTTCTCAAAATGTTTTCAACAATTTGTATGCATACTATGTAATGTAACAATTTGACAACAATAATAATGATAAAATTATAAAAAATATATATTAAATATAAAAATAGACTATGATTAAATTTGTTGTAACTTTAGCAGTTTCAAACATCCTAGGTTAATTTAAAGCACATTTTTTTAGCTTTTGAATTCTTATATTATAACTATTGAGTAAACGCAAAAAAAATCAACTTACAAAACTAGTAGCAAAAACATCAAAAAACGTTAAATAAAATTGCTTAATATGTACTTTTTTATAACAAATGATGCAAATTATTAAAATAATAAACAAATATGCTATCAAGGTAAAATTTGGTGGCTTTTTGGTGGGTAATTCCTCACTGAATAGACTTGTTGAACTAGACAATTGCCGCCTTTTTTATTATGGTCAAGGTTAATTATGCCGTTCATGTTACACCACCATTACGATCTACGCTCATCAGTCATTAAAATCTAATCTGTGTGAAACAGAATAGCTGCGGCTGCTGCTAATGAGGGAAAATGGCATCGCCATTGAAATTCTGCATCATCGTATTTCGACCTTCCCGGAAAGACCTTCCTCTAGTCGCACAGCCAAGGCTGGCGGCCGCGTGTCGGTCAAAATTGGAGCACTTTTCCATCGCGCCAAACCAGTTCGGAGAGAGAAAGGATCGGCCAAACATGAGCCAGCAGCCATGAAAATAAGTAGTGTTAACGTTGTAAGTTCATTAATTATTCCTCGAACGCGGCGAATAATGCGCCTTTCGCGGGCGAAAATTTAAGCCGCTTATTCGCAGTAGAGAAAAAAAATCGCTATAGAATTAAATTCACGCAGGTCGGCTTTTGGCTGTGCGTTTTTGCCAGTGGAACGTGCTGGGCCCAGAAAGAGCAAGAGAAGGCACCTCGTTTTCTTGGGGGCCTGGCTTTGGCCAGTCTGCTCAACCGAAGGACTAACGGAAATTTGGTCAACTCGGGACAAACCTTGCGAAACCGAATCAGGAACAGCGGATTGGGCATCTTGGGTGGTCTGGCCGCCCTCATCGGCGGGGCCAATTTAGGAACTCGAGTAATCGGACGGAGAGATGTGCAGTCGGCCACGACGGACTCAGCAATACTGGGCCAAAATTTAGACGCTGGGAATCTATTCGGGACGAGAAAAAAGAAAAATGGCAAGAGGAAAAACAGGACCAAGCCCAAGGATGTGGAGTTTGTGCAGGCCAAAGAAAAGAACGTTTACGACGAATACGCAGATGAACAGTGGGCCCACGACTTGAACAGGGAGGAAGGAGTTTTAAAGCCTGACAACAAAATGCGGCCACAAAATGAACAGCTTAATGACAATCGCTATTTTAGTTAAACTTATAGTCAGCGTGTTTATTTATAATTGGTTTGGGTAAATAATAAATTTTTTACAGTAAAAAAGGTTTAGTGAAAATTAAAAGTTGACCAAGATCCAAAAGCCTATCAACGCTATTGCTGATTATCTTTGAATCTAAAGTAAGTGGTAAATGAGTCATTTTTTCATATCATTGAAACAATTATGGAGGGCAAGAGAATAATAAAAATTTGTAAGCTAATAGGCTTAATTAAAAAATGAACAAAAAAAGGATAGATATTTGGTATTTAAAGAAAATACAATTGCCCAAATTAAATTTTAGTACAATGAAAGAATTTTCCATGCATAGCTCGCTCAGTATATTTGATTTAATTGGTCATTTTTCCGTTACTCAAAATTTTGTTATATCTTCAAAAGAAAGAAAAAAAAATGAGACATTCATATTTATTTCAAGGTAATTTAGCCTGGAGGACAGTTTGATCGCCCTTGAAATTAAATACATTAATTCTTAGTTTAAAATTTAAAGTCACTTTTAATTTTATTTGACGGTTCTTTTTCAAAGCTATCTAATACAAAATGAAACTCGTCAACAGAAAATCAAATCAATTTCGCTACTCAAAAGTTATTCAATCCCAAGAGAAAACTTTGATTCTGCATCAAAAACTCTCTGGAGACCAAACCTTAATTAATATATTTCATAATAAAACGAGCGGGCTTTGATAAGGACGATGCATATGTGTGTTGTTGCCTTCCCTATGCACAGACCAGACACATTCAGCACGATGGGTTAATTAACTTGAAAGCGGCTGATCCACCTCTCTCCTCCCACGCAAGCAGAGATACCGCCGTTGTTGCAGCACTGCGGGTCCGAAATGGGAAAGCGGTCTTGACGTTTGATAATATTGCAATTGAGCGCCGCGAGTTGAGTCCCAGCGCCGTTTTCATTTCCGGGCGCCGCCATGGGAAATCAATGTTGGCCTTGTTTCGCATTTCGCCGCAACTTCCAACCCGGCCGAGTGCGCTTGCGGCGCCGAAAAGTCGGGAATTCATGTGCTGTGATCAAAGGAAAAAATATATCTTTGGCCGAATCACGGATTTTTGAAATGAGCGGGCCAACCACGGTAATGAAATATATTCACTTTCTTAAAAGATCATTAATATCAATTTTTTTAAATCATCATTTTGGAGAACAATATAAAAACATAAATTTTATGTGGATCTGAAATGGAACTAGGCCAAATTTAAGCCCAGTCTAATTTATAAATTCAAGCATTTTTTCAAATCAAATTGATTTTAATTACAAGTAAATGAAAAAATTAAAAGTTTCAAATATTAATCATAAAAAAGATTCTTTAGTGTAATTTGTTAGTTTTATTTAAATGCAATCCCCATTTTGGGTGTTTATCAGCCTATATTGATTTGATTTTTTGGTAATAAATTAATTTAATCTGATTTTCTGCAAATCCGTTGGTCAGGCCTCCTTTTGGCTTGTGGGCGCCACGCTCATAATTTCGACCACCACCAGCTTATCTCCGGCCGCAGCTGCGTGGGGGACGGTCGAAAAAGTAATTAATCCTTGGGCAGAGGCCAAGGGCTTCCCCGCCACACCTGCTGGGCAGGACGAGTACTCGGAGGAGGACGAGGACGAAAAGAAGGCCGTTCCGAGAAGTGGAAAATCGAATAAAAAGGTGGCGGTCGCTGGCCAGGCCAGGAAAGGGCGAAAGGGGAAGAACAAGAATAAACCTAGGACTACATTCGCACCTGAGATGACCGTGGACAAAAGTGTCGAAATCGTCCCAGCTGTCAAACAACCAGCAAAGACCAAGGACACGCCCAAAAAAGGAAAGGGCAGCAGGGGCAAAAAAAGGGGCTAGAGATTAAAAGGGGTGATAAAAATAAATAAAATTAAAAAATATTTGTTATCAATGATAAGAATGAACTACGTCAACCATAAACAGGCGGCATTTTATATTTTAAGCTAAATTTTATCCGTTTTTCATTAAAGTTTTGTTTTAAATTTTAAAATACTTGTAGCATTTTAACAAATAAACAAAATTTTTATTTTGGTGCAAAAGATTGACGTACATTTGAAATGTATAAAACGCAACTTCCTCTTCACCAACGGAAATCAAACTCGCCAACACAGTACGGTAAATTTCCCTTTTTGCAAAAAAAAATGCCTCAATTCTTCCAGCCTCGTCATATTCCCTTTTGTGTTTTAATTAAAAACGAGCAGGTTTTCTCTGGAGTAAAACAGAAATTATTATTTTCAAGTTAGTCGAAGAAGCAATTTTCGCGACAAAACAAGGGAGAGACAAACGCGAAATCTGAGTCGCCGCCAAGTCATTATCATTTCCACGCTTTGCATATTTATACTGACTACTTGTTCAACAGGGAAAAGTTTCTTCGCTCCGACAGAACCCGTCGTTTTTCGCCAGAAATATGTACAAGGAAAGAAGAGGGAGAGAAAGCGACGAAAAGTTTTCCGTCGTGATGAAAAGTGACGCCCTTTCTTTCTCTCTCTCGCTTTTTATTTAATGCGCTCTGGGTCCATATCTGAGCGTGAATTTTTCGCTCATCAAACTTTTCAAATAGGCCATTTGCGTCGGCGGAGGAGCAGAAAAAAAATAACATCTGGTTGGCTGGAAAAATTCGATATCGAGTTTCGTCTCAAAATTATTAATACCCAGGCAGTTGTGAACGAGCAAAGACTTCTTCTTGGTGTTTAAAAGTAAACAGGGCCAAGATTAATGTTGACTGATAAACGAAGTGCAGCACATTTTGCAGTCGGGCGCGGCGCGTGCGAGTCAATATTTGCTCCATTGACGAATAAAAAGCTGCACGTCGGAAGGTAAATAAGAGAGGATGCCAGAAGCAATTTGCCTGAAAGCGATGGAAAAATTGGAGCGTTCCTTCTTTTTTTATTGTGCACTATATCTAATTACTGTGTAGCCCCGGCTTTTTGTCGCTGCCCGGCGAAACCGCAATAGGACGTGGGGTCTGCGAGAAAGGGTGAGTTAGTGCGCCGCCAAATGCAATTTGCCTCAAACTTTCGGCACCTCTGCGAGGAAAAAAAAGAAATCTCGCACGCGTGGTCAAACCAAACAAAGGATACTTTCTCGCCGGGGGGCGATCTAGATATTTTTACCCTCGAGCTTTATATCCCCAGGCGATGCCCCAGAAAAAGTGCGCTCTAGGGGAGTAGAAAAAAGCTCTAAACGTTGGCGATTTCCGCGTCAATTGTTGGTACTAATATAAAAAACTTTGTTGAATAAAAATGAATGTCATTTTTTTTAATCATACAAAATTAATTTGTGTAACAAGTGATAATTCAAAGTTGTTTGATGTTTTTACTTCGCTAGAGATTCAGTGAAAATAAAGTAATTTGTAATTGAAATAAATTAATTATTGATGGTTGTTATGAATCATGTTTTTTTCCCTTTAACTGACTTTAATCTTCCAGTGTTTGAATTATTGGTTAATTAAAAACTTTGAATTAATTTTCCGTACATATCTTGGCTCCTTTTTCAAAAGAAAAAAAAATTATAGTTGTACGATTTAAAAACGTCTGAAAGTGTAAATTATAAATAAAAAATTGTATATATGTATTACAATATTTGATGTGGTAACAAATGTTTTGTAATATTTTTGTAAATTTATTTTTAGTTTGACAAAAGAATATAAACGTAGACTCAAGTTTTCTTTTTAAAATCAACTACCTTATTGACAAGCGTGCCTACATATCAAAATTGCCGCATAATTTGCTAAAAAATCTCAATTTTGCAAGCTCTTATCTTTTATAAGTTTAAAATTATAAAATTAGAATTCTTAATGTGGTACGCCGGGATATATGATGATAATTTTTTTTCGTTTAATCACATTAATTAAGCAACGATTGCATTGAATTATAATGTACACAAATGTCCTAAGTCTGCTCAAAGGTCTCAAAGCAAGACGAAAAATAAGAAAAAAATTACATACCAAATTATGTCACGCATCAGGGTGAACAGAAAATACCAACACTGCTGGCCGCCGTGCCGCCGCCGCCACAAATGATACAAATTTTCTTGAATCGCCTGCACAAGGCCGCACCAAGTCCCAAGTCCATGAGGATGTATTACATAGCGGAGAATGGAGAATAGGAAGCATAGGAAGGATTTCATTTGGCTGTTTGGCAACAATGGCACGCCACGCACTCACACCAAACATATATACATGGGGTGGAGGGAGGTGACGAGAGGAGGTGGGTTGGCTGCATCATCATCAGCCAAGCAGCCACCTAGAGTCCTAGACAAGGCATTGCAGCGAAACTGAGCAAACTCGTGTCCTTTCAGCTTTTTGTTGTTTGCTTGTTGCCGGGCGGTGTCTTCAAGTCTTTAGCTCTCGCGGAAACGCATCGAATTCGTTTCGTTAAAAATTCATGTTCAAATAATGGTAACGGAGTCTTGATCTGCAGCTGGCTCTCGAGTAGCTAATTTCGTCTTTACTGCCCGAGTACCGAGTTGGACTTTTTGGTTGGTTAGAGAAAAGAAAAATTGGCGGAAAGTCGATAATTTCAAGGTTGGTTTTTTTTGCTAGATCAAAAGCAGCAGGTAAAATATTTTCGGATTTCTTTTTTGTCGCAATTTTTTGTATAATTGATTTTTTTACTTAAATGTATTTTTATAATCTTTCCCACATTTTTTTGCAGATCGTCAAGAGCAGGTCAAGAGCCTAGAATCCTCTACGAAGAGGTTTTCCTTATTAGTCTGATGTTTTCTTTGGACTTGAAGAACTTCATTTCTGCTTGATTGATTGTTCACATGGACCGTACGCCGTGCTCTCAACTTTCTTGGTGTGGATGTTCAGCTCTGAATGTTAATTTGCCACAAACACATAGCTGAATTTTAGAGAGGAATTCTGAAATTCTTGCCATGGAGTTAGCAATCAGAGGTAAATTGGAAATTGCAAATAAATAATATCTATTTATTCCAAAAAAAATGAAAGCTCTAAACTAAATATTTCCTAAGAAATACTTTATAAGCGTACGACACGACGTTCTCTTACAAGATATTCTTAGGTCTTTTCAATCCAAATCACATCTCTATAACACTATTTATTTCTTCATTTTTTTTTATTAATTCTCTTCAGAAAATTCAAAAATTTTGCCAATTCTGTATACCCAATTAATTCAATGCTTTATGGTTGCAATAGTATTAAAAAATTGTGTATTTGCAGGAAAAAACAATGACTACATAATACATAGACAGCAGCAGGCCCTTTTAAATCATTACGATTATCCACTATTGAAGACGATCTTCCTGTCCACGCCAGTGGCTTTACTTTCACGACGACGAGAGCTTCTTAATCTCTTCAGTGCAGACAAGCCTGTTGAAGAACTCGCAAGGTTAATTTTGTTAAGCAAATTTTGCCCATTTTCGCTAAAATTTAATCAAACAGGTTGGTTCTCACCCTCATTGTCGACAGAAAAGGGCCTTTGATTGAGTTGAGAGTTTTAGAGCTGCTCAAAGTACTTCCCGAGGATGTCAGGGAGAAGGTGATCACAGTCATGTTGCTGTCTTCTGTTGATACGATTTGCAAATTATCCAAGCAATTCGATTCGAATAACTTCAAACGCAGACAGTCGGCACAGAGGCTTGCAGAAATTTTTGCATGCATATGCAAAAACAGGCAGGATCCATGTCTGTTCTTGCGAGTTCTCATCAGATTATTTGAAAAGGCATTATTATGCGACCGTGACCTTTGGTACATCCGTTTGATATTTGTCCACGCGTTCAAAGCATGGCCCTTTGTGGACAGCAAATTGTTCGAAGAGTGTATCAACACAAACCAGGAAAAGTTTTCAAAGGTAAAATAAATTGTAACATAATAATTTTTGGCCATTATAAATAATATTATTGGAATGAATTATTTTTTATCAGTGGTATAAGGTGCTTTTTTTATATTTTTTTTGTATCATTTGCAAAAAAATGTGTGTCTAGTTTTTGCAAAGTATCAGCCGGTATCAGCAACATCCAGTTGCCTTCTGGTATCAATTTTCACTATTTTTTTCATTATTATCTTTCCTCAATTAAAAATTAAAATATAATGTAAATCTTTGCATCAAATCATTTTGGTTTAAATTTAAATTTTTTTCGTTACAGGCAAAAATACACATCTTGATCCGGAAGCTCAATGATGCCGCCAGAGATTGTGATAATGCTGTTCGGTACGGTATTCTTATTGCCCTCAACAATGACCAGCTACGAAATTTTGCAAATTCCTGTCTGCTCCCAATGGCCATGGCATTCATGCAGAATCCTCGGAAAAGTGCCTGGGCGATTGTCACTCTGGCCATTACTTGTTGCCTTCGTAAAGATACCTACTTGCAAGCCTCACTTCGCCGGGCCTTTGAGACCTTTAAAAGACATTCTACCAGTTTTGTCCCACTGCAAGTCTCCGAAGCGATTGTCAGAGCAAAGATATTCTTGGAACAGAACAGCTTCATAAAGATGGATTTGAAAATTCCGCAACATGCAGAGTACATACAGCTCCTCTGCAAAAAACTGGAGACACAAAAGTTGCTTCTCAGTCCTGCTGTGAGTAAAATATTTTCGCAAATTTTATAAAATAAATTTCAACTGTTAATGAAATTAAATTAACATTGTTGATTTTGCTTGCGTTGAAAAATGACAACCTAAAATTCAATCTCCAAAATTTCATGACAAATCTGATTTGAATTTTTCAGGCCTTTCCTTTAAAGAACTCTGTGTTGGAAATCTTCAATTTGGAATATACAATAACTGAAAACCTGAGAAGTTTGGGACTCCAAGCACCAGAGGCATCAGTCACATTGGTATAATTATTTCATTATAAATTTAAAGAATATTCAACTTAACGTTCAAATAAATTACAGCATTGCCTAACACCAGATATTAGCTGCAGCAGTACCACCGTCAAAAAAGAGCAAAACATTTCGCACTCTCCACCTCCTAAACAAAAAAGACCCTCAATACCTCCAGATTCAAAAAGACCCTTGTCCCCTTCACCACCTCCAAAACTAAATCGAATGTCATCAAATAAGCCTTCGTCTCCAGCTTACAGAATCTCCTCCACCATCACCCAAGTGCTCCAGAACAAAATACGATAATGGTAATTCAACTCAAGAAATTTTTTTTTTTAAATTCCATTTTTTTTCTACCTCTATATGTCAAAAAATGAATGAGAGTAAAATATGTGCACAATTTTATAGCATTGCAGGGACGGGGAAATTAAATTGAAAGTTTAAACTGAAGAAAAAAAAGACATGATCACCTGTTAATCCTATCTTGTAGAAGATTCTTTTTAAAAAAATGTCAAATTTAATTAATTTTAGAGCGCACAGTTCATGAAGCTTTGAAAAAACTCGTCCATTCCTCTATGGACTTCACCGCGTCCGACATTCAGAACTTTTGCCAGGAGGTATGTGCAATGCTGCCTTCAACCAATGAAGATTTGCTTGCAAAGTAAGCTCATGTGAATTTGATCTTTTTTTTCTCATTATTATTATAAATTAATTTTTCAGGTACTTAATTCAAACCTTCATGGAAGTCTGCGGCAAAGAATTTGAGTGGCCTTTTATTATCACGTGCCTTATGCTGACCAGCTCAGGTTGGTCGTCAGTTGTGAAAAACGTTGTGCAGGTCCTGCCAAGTTTTGTCAGCACAGATGGACAAGCAAAATCTGCAGCCGAGCAGTTCGGTCGCGTTGCTGCTCAGCTTTGTCTGCAAACGAAGCAAAAGCAGCTTCTGATCTCATTCCTGGCCAAAGTGGTTGTCAACCAAAGCCCAGAGTTCCTCAGCGTCTGCAATACTGCTATTAATGTGTGGCCCGAGGTTATTGCTAGCTGTGCTGAAGACGTGACTAGCAAAGCTCTCGCCTTGACTTTGTGGAAATTGACCTCCCCTGAGGAGCTGAGAGTAGCAGGAGTTGTTGAGGAGAGTCAACGCATTCCATTGGCAAATCTCCACACCAAGCTCACCCTGAGTTATCTTCTTATCTCGGTGTTTAATGGCATTGAAATATAAATGCTGATATCAAGTTTGATTTAATATAATTTTTTTTTTTTAATATTAAAATTTGTGCTCAAATATTTAACTTGCATTCAGTAAAATGCATTTAATAACTAATTTTCTGGGCATCATATCGATATTTCTTCATATTCAATTATGCGTATACGCTTAATGAATTGGCAAGTAAATTTTAGTTTTTAAAACTTGAGAAGCCATTTTTTGGCAATAATTTCAAATTTAAACTACACAGTAACAACCATAATATTATATATTTTTGTAGAGACTTGATTTGATTGTGTGTCAAATAGATTTTCACTAAATTTTCCAAGGTAACATTATTTTGGATTTGATTTAAATTAACTATAACAAACAATAATAAAAAGCATGATACCATACATTAATTCATACACATTTTATTTATTAGAAATGTTTGTCTCAAATTAAATCAAATTTGATTTCATCTGTTCTCTCGGGTGAAACCGATATAGCGTTTTTTGTTTGCGTCATTGAATATTCAACTTCTTTTTGAACCTGCAGTGTTGTTATCTCTGTCGAGATTGCTGAGACTCAAAGTCAGATGGTGGTGGTGGCGCGCATATATAGTTATGTCAAATATCTATACAAGGACACTGGTCTTTTTTCCTCGTAAAGTACATTTATAATTATAAAGATTTGCACCATGGTGGGAACTGCTACCGCCTGGCAAGTCTTGAAATTGCTTGAGAATAGGAGGCTTCACCTCGTGAAATTTAACAAAAAAATTTTTTGTTGATTGAATGAATTCTATAAAAAAAATATATATATTTTATGGGAAAATCACGAAAAGGAAAAATATTAAACGATATTTTTAGTAAAGATCAAACTAAAGTCGCCAACCCTTGCACAGTAGGTCCAACAGCTTCACAGCGTGTGTGACGGTCGGGCTTTTTTTCTTTCTCTGCCGACAAAAGGGAAGTCATCAAATCTTCGACGCCGCACGCCGTGGAAATAAGGTTAAAAGTACGTGCTTGTGCGTCTAATGAAGACGTCACCGCCACTATTTTGCACCACCACACACCCTTTCTTCCATCGCCGCCATCCGTTCTTTTCTTCCTTTCGGAGCAGATGATGGGGTTCTCGAGTGTGCTTCAAACTTGCACTTATTGAGAGATATTCGAGGCCGACGTACTCTCTCTCGAATGTCGCCATTGCTAATCCCTGCCAACGGCCCACCCACCTCGTTTTGTCCGCCCGTGAAATAAATTGGCGTATTTTTTACACGCAGCTTAAATTCAGAGGTCGCTTACTGGTGAAATTTTCCGCCGCGATGAGGGTGTGTAATATATGAAGTCGTTATTTTTTGCGTACGTGGACAGATAGTAAGTGGCTTACATCCAATTTGGAGCGCGGCCCAGACTTTTTAATCAGAAACCACCAAGGTATGAAGCACAGACCCGTTCGTTCTCTCTGCGGAACTCGAGAGTGAATTAATAAAATATAAGAGAAGAGAGATACTTACTTTTTTCTTTTTAATTATGGACACACGGAGAAATGAAACTCAAAGTTAACAGAACTTTCCCAGCTCTCTCTTTTATTAATGCCATAATGTAGCTTTTTGCTGCAATGCCGTATTTACTTTGAGCAAAATCCGACGCAAAGTTAAAATAGGGTACACCGTATAAAAGGAATGTGTTTTAAATTTGGAATTCGTGGAACTTGCAAAAAAGATAACATTTATGTGTTTATATTTTGGTTCTTTTTTGGTATGCAAATAAAAATAAAAACATTTTTGATTGAGGAAAAACTTGAGTTTGGTTTTTTTGTTTACACTTCTCAGAAAAGTGAAAAACAAACGTTTATTTAGCAAAAGAGAAGTTGTTTTCATTGACATTTGTAGTTATTTCTGTAAGAATGTTTTCGTGACAGAATTTTTCTGAATTGTAAATCCTATAACGCCTACACGAGAAGGTCAGTGAGCGTCAAATTTAAAAACCGCGGAGCCGCTAACCTTTCACAACTAGAGTAATTAGGGCTGCAAAAGTAGTAAAGAAATGACTAGCATAAACCTCTTGGCTTTTCAGCTACTTAGTTGAAAACAATATTATTTCTATCATATATTCTCTTTTTATAATAAACGAATAAAATCAATTATTTTTTGTTGGTTTAAATTTTAAAAAATAATATAAAAACTTAAAAAGTTAATATTGCAACTTGCAAGCATTTATGATCTTCTTTGTAAATCTCCAGTCAGTTTTTGAGGTTGATATTCAAGCAAATCTTTACGTTTCGGTAGTCATGGGATGCGGATCATTATTTTGAAGCATCTGCTATACATTTAGCCGAGGTATGGTTTTCAATATGGCAACACAATACATGTCCCCGGGCGGATTCCTACTTTATGCATCACCTACGCACAAAAAAACACCACGTGCTCTGATTCCCACGAGCAGGAATAAAACTTTGACGTGTGCTATGCGCTCGCAAAAAAGAAGGCGTATTTCGAGATCCATTAAAATATTCAAAAGGCGGAAAAAAAATTATCAACATTTTCAAATTGAACAGAAGTCTAGAGATTTGCTCTTTATCTATCAATTCGGTATAACATTTGAGCACTAAAATTTGGCTAAAAAGATAAAAGCCGCTCAGCTTGTATTTTACGACTTCCGCCTCGCAACTTTAGATATCGATTAGGCATTAAACATTTTATGGCCCATCTTTGCGAGTTGTGTTTATTTAGTAGCGTTTATATTCTCCTTTTCTACTCCATCAATTGCAGACAAAACAAACAAAAACAAATAATACCGCCATAAATTGAGCTCGTCGGTGTATAAATCGAGAGATTGCACCGACAAAATCCGCTCGGAATTTATTACATTTGACGTAATCATTGGCTGGCCAAACCGACGGCTAAAAAAACAAAACGCTATATTTGCCCAACAGCTTTGTCGAGTGCACGACTTTCCCACACAATTCTCTCCCTTCACTGGCAATGATTTTCTTTCGTATGAATTTTAATCTCGTTTATAAATTAAATTCCAGGAGTGATTAAATTTTCGAGCAGCAGAATCGGAGGGAATAATAATCGAGAAATTCCTCAGCTCTCATTTTTTTCTCCCTTTTATATTTCCATTTCAAGAGGTTTGCATCGAGAGTTGTGCGGAGCAAAGTTGCCCCGCCGGGAATTTATCGCCGAGTATGCGCGACAAAAGCGGGTTCAAATTAGAAAGTTCCGCGGCGACGACTGCCGGGATAATTTATTTACACCGTGTGCAAGGCGAAATTAAATATTCATGGCGGCGAGTGTGTGTGTGTATGTGTTTTTGCCGGCGTAATATGAATGTACATGCATATTTCGCTGCCAACACGCAGAATAGCAACGTGTGTTGGCCGCTTTTGCTCGTCTGAAAGGGGTGAACAATACAAGTTTTTTCTAAATGAAAAAATCTGCATTGTAGCTGGGATTGATTTATGCGGATTTTTATTTAAAAGCAGTACAAAAATGCAAACAACGCCAACTGGCATTTTATGTGCAAAGAGTCCAAAGGCATTCCTTTTTCATACAATATTTATACTTTTATACCATCTTTGCAATAGGGAGGTTTTGAAATTTTGCAAGCTTCCTAATTAATGCAGTGAACAATACAAATTTCATTGTGTTTGCTAAATTAATTATCCATCTGGAACAATAAAAAGCAATAAATTTTGACTTGCTAGCAATTTTGAAAAATTTATTTCATTTTTGGCTTATAAATATTGGTATAAATTTTAAAAATTCCATAAAATTATCATAATCAATGATGAAAGACTGAAAGAGCGAAATATTCATGAGCAATCGCTTCACTTTTTTTATTAGTAAATTATTAATTTTTTTATTTCATTTTTCTTTATTTATTATTTCACCATATTTGTATGGTTTTGGTGGAATTAATGATAATTTTGTAAGCAATGCATCGCAGTAAAGAAATAATGTTGTTTATTCTCCAAGTCAAAAAAAAACTTCTGACTTTGAAGTTCCTAAAGAATATTGCTTCTGTTGTGTTCTGGAGTTTTCTCCACTTTGGTTGAAGCTTGCGGTTCCTTGAAAGTCCATCAACTGGAAAAATCTAGATGCACACGATACCCTTAAGAAAACGACCGGCGGGGTCGGGATTACCCAACTAAGTCAAGGGGCGAGCTGAGATGAATCATATGAGAGTTGTAAGAAATACGAGAGTCTTGGTGAAATCGCGCCTAACATTTTTATGCGAGCACGGAGACAAATGCGAGCCTAATAGTTTTAGTTGGGCAGGAAGCGATGTAAAAAATGCGAGGCCGACTTCTTGTATATGAAACATAAACGGGTCCTCTCATTTATCACGAGATCCTTGGCGAGTAATAAAAAAAGTTTCAGCCGCTCTTCTCCTGTCTTATTGCAATCTGAGAAAGAGAGAGCGATCTTCTGGCTGGCATTTTTACTATCGCGAGATAAAGACGCGAAATTAAGAGAGGAACAAAATGCCCTGCGTGCTCTGCCCGAAAAGAGCGAGTTATAAACTCTGGCTAGCGTGCTGGATTTGGGAAAAAACACACACAAGTGCCCCCTGCAATTATCAACAGACGCGACTACTTCCTCTGATATATTATTTTTGGTTTCATATAACTCACGAAAAGCACGAAGGAGGCTTTTTAACCACTAAAAAGCTTCATTTGTCCGTGGAAGTTGAGTTTTCCTTGGGCGTTGTTTCATTTTCTTGTCCAATTAATTACATACAAAGAGAAATTTTTGGGTTAATTTTTTTTTTTAATTGTAGAAGGAAATTATGAATGAAATTAAATCTAGAAAAAAATCTTGAAGTGAAAAAAGGATGTTTCATTGGTTTTTTTTATAACAAAAATACTAACAATAAAAAAATTAGATTAGATCAATATTCATGCTTTATGACTTGTACATACGGCCAATAAATTGAGTGATTTTACAGCAGAACAAATATTACCAAATTTTAAAGAATTGGAATGACTGCAATATATTCTGTCATTTAAAAAAAAAACTAAATATAGAAAGGGCAATCTTGGAAAATGAAAATCGAAATGGAACAATTCTATCTTTAGTAAGACCCCTGGTTCGGAATTGGTTCAGAAATGGTGCAGAACTGGTGTAGAACTGATTTGAACCGGTTCTGCACCATCTCTCTACCATTTTCGCACAAGATCTGCACTGAAATTCTAAAATTGAAAATTTTTGATACCAAAAAGCTTTAATATCCTGATTTTGATTTGTTAAGAATTAAAAAACAAAAATCATTTCAAAATCATTGATGTAAACAAGTATATTAACCTAAATTAAAATAAAAA